CACGGGCGGGACAAGCCACGTCGCTGCCTATAGGGCGTACATTGAACGCGCGCGCGCGGAACTGGCAGGAGAGGCAGGGCAGGGATATGCTGTAGGTGAACAGAATAAGAAGAAAATAAAAGTGGGACAGGGGCGGGTTCATTGTGCGACGGCGGGCAGAGCCCTTGGTGAGTCCCCCGGTCCTCTGGAAGAGTGCTGGCTTGGCTGCCATCCAGGCATCAGATGTCATTCACTCCCGGGAGTGCATGAAGGTGAACTATCATGAAGTCCAATTGAAACCAGTGTTGAATGTGGGATTCAGTGAAATATTATTTCAAAACGTGAAGAAATGTAGGATGAATGTGAAGAAGAAACTGTGAATTACCATTTCCTTTGCTGCGTATACTTCTGCAAGTGGAAATGGTGCGGTATATTATTTCGTGCGTTGTGATTGGGAAGTTTCTGTCCTAAATGCTTGGCTGTAGGTGGTGCAGTATACAGTATATTATACACACCGCTTTCTCTTGCAATTTGTAAAATCACAAGAAGGTCGATAAGCCCTGGCAAAGAAATCTCAGTATCTCACTCATGCTTTACGAGTAAGTTAGCTGATGTCCATGTTTTTCCAAGCTTATGATAAAACTGACTGCAGTACATGTGCACTGACCCATGGAATATTTTACGTAATTTCGTCATTCTTTGAGCAAAAAAGATAAAGTATTCCCGTAAGTGACAGTATGCTTTCTTATTTCAATGAGGCAATGTATTCAATTTTCTTTCGATTCGGATGTGCAGGAAAAATTTGGCGTGAGAGATTTTGCTGCGTCATGATTGAGTGACATAATTTTCCTATATATTTTTGTAGATAATTTGAACGGCGGATGGTTCAGTTTTCTAAACTTTTCAAGATACTGTAGGTGCAAAAAACTGGAATTTGGATACAGTAGACAAATTTGTCAACGTTTGCAATGTTAATAATGCTTGATAAGAACACCACAATACAGCTATTTCAATTGCCGTATGATAATAATGCCCATAGTTTGATATTTCTAAACACAGCATAGGCATGATCAGCACGTGTGTTTGAATCACATGTACTGTACACGAAAAATTGTCATACTTTTCTACTTGGAAAAATGAGAGGGGTTCTTTTGGGTCGTTTCTCACCAGTTACGTGGCTTTGAAAAACTTGAAACCACTTCAATACAGCCAGCTGTATAAGTATAAATACTGTACGTCTGTACCTTATTCATATGAGTATGTCTAGAGAGATACATTATTTCTGGCTTCGTTTGAAATTTATTTCTAATTTTCCAAACATTTTTGGAAGGCTTGCAAAGAAAGGAAGAGAGAGAGAGAGGATGAAGGGAATATTTTGGTGAGGCAGAACTCAATTACTGTTTGTTTTTAGCTTGTAGAGTAGTACGTGTGCTTTTATTGAACGATCAGTCTAAAAAATCAATCAAAGCCAAAATTAGTGAAAAAATCCATAGTACTGTACGTATAAAAATATATACAGTACAGTACTGTTAAATCATTTCAAAAAAGTTTATACTAAATTACTGTTTGTCTGCCGAATGTTTCTTCAATCACAAAATGATGAATAGTACATCTGAAATGCGCCTGCTGCAATACAAGTATACTGTACGCACAGTATATTCAATCTTATTGATACGATAATGAGTAATCAATCTCTCTGTTCATTGAGCTCAATCAGCTAACAAATGCGTGCTTGGCTTGAAATTTCCTGAAATTTTGAAGGGTTTTAAGTGGACGCTTCGAGTTAGCAAATAAAAAAATCAAAGTGTATGAATTTCAAAATACTCTACGTGCAGTGTAACCAATTAAATTCTTGGTTTCCATCAACCGGACATTCATGTTCAAATTTCGATTCATTGAAGGAAGCAAAGCGTCATTTTCTCTTCGCACTATAAACGGCAATTTTGCTGACTAAAGCCGCTTCATTTTTGTCTACTACGCGTGAATTTTTGAGAATTTCTCTGATATAGGCACGTCATTCTTGAACCTTTTCTGAAGAAAAAGATTTCATGCACGGATTTTAATGATTATTTCATGTAGGAACTCAACAAAGACCCACATTTTTAAAGGTATTTTGACTTCATTTGGGTTGGTGATATTTGCTGATGAAATTTTTTTGGAAAACTTAAGAAGGACTGTTCATTGTTCATAGACGTCTTACATGCAGAAAGATCCCTTATGGAGGATACGAAGAAAACAAGCTGCATATGTTTTTTGTTTCGATTTTTACATCAAGTGTTCAAAAAAGTAAGCCCCAATCTAATATTAAAAATAGCCTTGCAAGTTTGACAGAGGGAGGTTTGAGCCAAGCATGTCGAGATGTAACCTCCATTGGGCGCAATGAATTTGTCCAAGGGAATTGACTATAAATCAAAAGTGGGAAGATTTGACTTAGCAAGGTCTACTCCGACTCTATTTTAAAAAGCTACTCACGCATGATTTTTCAGTACCTTAATGTACTCATGTTGTGTACTTGGGTCTGTCACACTCTTACGCCTTTTCTCATTGATCGCGGGTATTGCAACAAGTGTATTTCGGTCAGTCACGGATCGTACTGCACCATAATCAAATACATATTTCACAGAGATACACATAAAAATTACTGATTTGTAATCGAGCAGCGGTGAACTGAACCCGGATTCTGCCTCTGACCTCATGCTTAAAACAGCAAGTAATTATTCCACAGAATAATTATACAACAGTCGAATTAATTCTACTGTTTTTACCGGTACTATTCGCTCATTTCCGCATTCTGTTCTCCTTCTTCGTTAAAAAAATAAGCGGAGGATGGAGATGTTGATTCTGGAATTCAGCTCTCGGAAAGGACTGCCAAACTTTCAGGGGAGTGATGGGATTCTTTTGATTGTTTTTGTGCTGCTCTTTTTATTTTCCATGCCTGATGAATTAGCATAATGAATTCAGATTTATTCATGCATCTTTGCACCTCGGCAATCGCAATGGCTTCCACGTGATGGATATAATGTCTAGAGAAGATTTCGATTATCGCTGATTGCGGATTTACAGGATTCGTAGTTGAGAAGCTTGCCTGGCTGATTTGTTGATTAATTGGACTCATGTGTCACGATGAATTGTTCAGTACTGTCTTCGGTACTTGATGTCGGGTATATTTTCTGAGCGTCTGACAAGCGTCAGAAGCATGATGAGAATTCCTTTACCTCACCAACCCATTATGTACAATAGATAGGATTGTTCAAGGTTCTTCGAGCAAACTATTCTCTCACGCATTTCAAGAATGGTGAAGTTTTGGATTTTTCCGTTCTGGCTATTATTCGTTCTGGACCGTCGAGGCAAGAAAGAACGGGAGAAAAAAATGAGAATTTTTTGTTGTTGAAAAATTAAGAAAAAGATTCTGCACGAAAGAAACCGAATGTTCAGCTGTGAATGGTTGTTATTTTTATTTCATTTCGTCTGAATATGTGCTGCAAGTTATCATGTATTTTGATTTGAATATTTTCTCTCTCTTGAAAGCCAGAAATTGTGCTGCCCTCATCTGCAGAGGCGTTCATCTTAACTCTTGACTATACAATACGAGTAATATAGTAGGTGGTATTCATCCGATCGAGAGATGAGACTTGGATTTTTCAGAAGCTGTTAAATGTGTCTCGATTTAATTTAAAGTCTAAGACAGGAAATGGAAAAGCAAGTCCAGTTTTATTGTTTTTGAACCTTATTGTTTTTCCCTTCTATGTTATTACTCACATGTAATTTTCTTTGCAACAATGCTTACATCTGAGAAGCACATCTCTTCGTCGCTCGATTGAGGAAGGCTTCATTTGATTTAAGCCCTCGTCTATACCGGAAACTTTCAACCGAATACTGCAACAGTACTGTACTGCTCTAATGCAGTGCGCTTGTTGTGAACTGATTTTGTTTCAAAAATAAGCACGTTTTATTGCTGGAGTGACTATAGCTATTACGTCGTGCGTCTGTTGTGATTTACCAAGTTTTCGAAGAGATGGATCCTAATGAATAATTCGTTATGGCTACGTTATCTGTGCGGGGTTTTGCTGCCATGCTGGAGCTCATTAGAATAGCATTCGGAATGAAGCTGCTGGCTGAAGGTCGCGTGACTCATGGGTATCTAAGTTGCGTACTCTTCTGACGGTTTACTCACTTTACTGTACCGTACAGGCGTACACCGTACTGAATGATTCATTCGGTACAATACTGTATTGTGAGAACAATTAACAAATTCGAAAGCCCACAACTGTATACATGTACCGACATTTCATCCCCGTGGTCTTGCACTGAAATGCATGCAACAAGTGGGAAACTGGTTAAAATGTTCAGAGAGACTTACAAATACGGCTTCAAGTGTACATACGCTAGTACGTCGCCCGATCATAACGCCGAACAAGGAACAAGTACTGTATATACAAATACAAAAGGTCGTGGCGCATTCTGAGTTCATCATTCTTGCGCGGACTGTATACAGTACTGTACAGTATTGGAGGACGTGCTCATGAAACTACTGTACTTCTAAATATGCGCGACAGATGTCGCGAAAGGTTCGATCTCTCTGGCACCAGGGTTCAACCCTGAAAATTGAGTAGCGCTTCGTAAGCTGGCGAACTTGGATGCACACTTAGGCGTGAGGCGACCCTAAGGTAAGCTAGTGCCGTTTGTAAGTGCATGATTACAATGCATAATCTCTTATGATAGGCATATTTTACGGTCCTGAGATTCCAGTTTACATTTCTTGGTGGTTTTCGACACGAGACTTCACATCGAATTCACACCCTTGTTTTGCTGCGGAATGATCACGTCTTGAGCCGGCGTATTAAAAAAAAAGTGAGATTCGTTATTGATAACTTGAAGGTGAAATTTACCCCGCAGTGTTAATCCTGAAGGCTGTTCGCGAAAACGATGACTTGATGCGTCGAGTCATGAAGTAGTGCATGGAAACTCGCGATGGAAATCCACTCGAAGGAGTGCGTGTTCCTATGAATACCAATCGCAGAATGTTCCCCGTGAAAGGTAACGAACACGGGGACGGTGCAACAAGCAGTGCCGTTCAAGTTCTGCTCAAGAAAGGGAAGCGTGAAGCTGCCGCGTACATTCATTCGGAATGTACGCGTGACAGAGATACCAATCCGCAGTTGAAGGAACTGCTCGACTTTCTGCTGGATCCTTCGAAACCTCTGGAAGATTGGGAACTGACAGATTGGTGTCGTTGGTTGTTAGCTGCGGGGAAGAATCCCGATGAATTTGCGAAAGATGGTTAGTCCAATGTAATCTCTAAATGTGAACTTACATTTGATCTGGCCTTACGTATTGTTTCAGTTCGAAAATTTGACTGTGCAACCACATGTGGACTGGTTTGGACTGCAAATTTTGTGGCTTATCGATGTCGGACTTGCTCTATTTCGCCGTGCATGTCCTTGTGTTCAGAATGCTTTCGCAAAGGCAACCACGTTGGCCATGATTTCAATATGTTCAAAAGCCAATCTGGCGGAGCTTGTGACTGTGGTGATACAACGGTTATGCGAGAATCAGGCTTTTGCCAGCGACACGGGCCAAATGCCCAAGGGCGACAAGTACCATCTGCTCCTAAAGATCTTCTGTGTGTAGCTGAGGCGATGATGCCTAGAATAATCTTGAGATTAATCCAGCATCTCCGAGAACAAGTGTGAGTTTGAAAAATAGTTTCCGTTATTTGTGAACGTGAGAGAAAATATTGATGAACCCCTGTGGGGTGCTCTTTATTTTAACAGTGAAATGGACGTGTACGAGAAAACAGCCAAGCAATTCGACCTTATGTTGGAAGCAGACAGTTACTTGGATATGCTGCATAGTTTAAGCGAAATGGGAACAGCCATGAGGAAAGTGATGACGTCGGTACTCACGAATCCCTCGATTTACACCAACCAGACAGAACTCACATCGGGCGATTCCAAGTATCAGGAATACATGCGAAACTCTCAGAGGTTGTATGAAGCAGCGCTCGACCAGATGCCTCTTGCTACGTTTTCGGATGAAGACTTACAGAGAAGTAAAACTAATTTTATCGGCTGCCTGATCTTTGCTAATAACTTTCATATATTTCTAGATGAATATCCATGGGTTCAACGGTATAAGGAAGTGATGCCGAAGCTGAAAAAGTTCGCCGGTTTTGATGAGAAGTTGAAGCATAGAACCTTCCTAGAAGAGTTGGTCTTCTGGACTGTGCGATATCATTTCCCTCAGAAGCTAGTCTGTTTACTCCTGAACATGCTTCCGGACCAGAACTACAAAGAAGCGTTCACGAGAGCGTTTGTCCTCCACTACAGCAGAATTTCAAGACTTCTACGAGCTTCTCCAGCCGATGAAACGCTTCGAAACCGAGTCGTTCATGTTTCTGTGCAATTGTACTCTAATGAAGCTCTGACCCTAAAAATGGCTGATGAAATGGGTCTGCTTCACATCATGGTGATGTCTCTAAATTCCATGATGATGGGATTGCTGTGTCCTGCGGTTGACCAGAGACGATGTTAGTGATTCTCGCACGCAAGGTTTATTTTTCTTTCTAACGAACATTAATCTGATTTCTTGCTTGCAGTGGCGTCAAGATTCACGATTGACGTGATCGACGTGGTGAATCGCCATAATGTCCTAAACTGCAATGAAATAGTGATCAAAGAGCACTGTTACTGGCCTCTGGTTTCCGACCTCAACAGTATTCTTTCTCATCGTCCTGTTGGCCTGCGCTTTGTAGATGAGAGCGAAAATTTGCTTTATTGGTGGTTCCTCTTCCTGTCAATGTTCCAAGGAATGAACGTGAACTACAGAGAACTTACCGAGCATGTCGAATATGAGCCGAACACCTATTTCGCCGCATTCACTGCAGAGTTGGATGCGAGTGCCACTCCTATGTGGGCCCTTGCCGCCCACTTTGTGACGCCGAATTCCCTAGACATGACGAGAAACATCTTGAAGCATTGTCTAGATGCCATTAGGCAGTGGATGGAGGATACTGGAACATCTGTGACGCAAATGGTGAGTTTTCTGCCGTGAAACTAACATGATGGCATGCATGAAGTAAGTACTTCAATTTTTTTTTTACGCGCACAGGTATTGGAAGATCAAGTTACCTTCCACCTTCCGTTGCACCGCTTTTTCGCCGTGTTCATGGCTCAGGCTGTGCGATATCAGCATGCGAGGCCTCAAGAATTGATGCCACCGGAAGACCTGTTGGATCTTATGATTCTTCATCCGTTGCGGATCCATGTTTGTTTTACTTGATTAAATATTTCGGAGTGTCCTCTCATTTTTTCGCTTGTTAGGTATCGTTCTATGAAATCTTCTGCGGGCTGTGGGTCCGTAATGGTTTGCAAATAAAAGGACAAGCGGACTCTTACATACAGTGCCATTATTGCAACAGTCTGGTTGACCCGGATTTGTACCTCATGCAATTGGGAGCCATGGTTTTCGATCCGGATGAATACGCTACGCGTATTTTGCGAAAGTATGAACTTATTCATCCAGGCGTTGGTTCGTGTTATTCATGCAAAAATAATTTGTAGCTTTCACTTGATGGACTGGCTGAACGTGTTTCAATCGAGGAAGGTTGACAAGTATCCTGATAAGGACCAACAGATGGGGATGGTCGAAAGCTGTTTGATCTTCCTCGCCACTTTGGTCACGACGCGGACAAATATTGGTAAAATATTTCTGATCATTCATTTTTCCTTCACCTGTTCAGAAATGAAATTTTCTCCCGCAGGCCTGTCGGAAAAGGATTTACAGCGTCTTGAAATCGTGACTTTGTTGTGTATGGGCGAGAAAACTCATTCCCAGCTTGTTGACCTGATGCCGGAGAAAGGTGGAGGAGCGTGTCAGAATCGAGATTTTGAAGAAATCTTGGACGAAGTTGCATGCTACAAGGCACCTAATTTCGAAAGTGGCAGTGGTCAAATGCAGCAAGGAATGTATGCACCCAAGGCCGAGTCTTGGGAGGAGTTGTATGATCCGTTGTACGTGTTACTTCGCGCTGTGCAACGCAAAGAATTCCAGACGTCGTTGGATCGATTGACGGCTCAGTGAGTTTAATTCAAGTTTTGTGTGCAATAATGATTGATTTGCTTGCAGACATTAGCCTGGAGGAACGCTGATTAATTCATCCTTTCATGATTACTTTCAATTGTGCCAGCTGTTTATTTCTTTGTGGAACCCGAAACAACTTCTTTGTTCTGTGATGATACAGTTGCAGGTTTTTCTTATATTCAAGTAAAGTAACTTTAAAGGACAAGCATTTCTTGTCCTTTAAAGTTCAGTATACGTATCCAAGGTTGTTGGTCTGAGGATTTTCTGACATGTTGAAAAATTATATCGCTGTTCAAGTTTTGCCCTTTCTTCCCCAAACGTTTCGTGTTTCTGCATCATAGTTGCTCTTGCAGGACAAAGCTGTCGGGAAAGTACAAATGGAGTGGCTCGCCCTGGCCTCCGTTCAGGATCCCAGCGCCACCGAAATGGGGCTATGAGAATCCAGTTCGAATCTTACAGTCGAGAAGCTTCCAAGCTGTACTCTTCGTCTTACTGTTTCGTGCCTTGGAGGATCCTAGAGTCACCGACCACGTGATGGCCTTATCAATTTACCTGCTTGACTTGGTCGTATCATTTTCTCCGCAAGTGGACGGAAGCAGTCTTGTGAGTTGCTGCTGTGCTTCTTCATCCTTTCATCGATTCACTGTGTTCCTCGCGCTGAAACGTCCGTTGATTAAAATATTTCTATAGGAGATACCCGGGGAAACTCGTTCCCAACCTGACATCGAGGTTCCAGACGGTGATTACAAAGCATGGTTTGAAGACGATAATCTTTCAAGAAATCTTCGGACAAATATCAGTGCAATTTATCGCTACGTTGCGGTGTGCGTACCGTCTACGGAAGGTAATTATTACTAATTATATTTCCGTAATCGCATTTGAATGACGATTGGCGCAGTGTTCGAATCCCCAGAAACGCCCTCTACTGCTGAAGGCTTGGTCATTGATGTCGACGATGATTCCGACACCCAGGAATTTTACGACGGAACAGTTGGAGAAGGTATGAAGCATACACATCACATTAGCGAATTTTTTCCAACTACAGTACTGTATTCCTTGTTTCAATTCAGTCGTCGAAGTCCTGAGTCAGGATAACGATTCGGATGAAGGCGCTGCTCGAGAGGAATCCTCCACGTACAGCTCCGGTTCATTCCACGCCGCGGAAGAAATGGAAACCTCGGAGTATCAACCGGAACCTGCCCAATCCGTTTCTGCGCCTTCAAGTGCCGAAGGGGAAGGATCCGATTCTTGGGCATTAGTTGAAACGCCTCCAGTGAATTTCCGACAACTGCAGCTCCGCGCTGCTCGCATTGTTGCGCATCATAGCAGTGCGTGTCTTGTTTCGACTTGATTTTTTCTTTTTTATGAATTTTCACTCGGAACCGCATTTTTCCAGATCGAGGTACTCTTGAAACTATTCCGAGATTAATGCTATTGGCTGGAAATGAAATTGGTCTGTCGGCGGACCCGTCACGGAAATCCGTCATCACGTACAAGAAGCAGTCGATACCTTTTTCTATTGGCATTATTCAACACTACGTAAGATTGATCCCGTCTCTTGAATCCTGCGGCTGTGTAAAAATTCATTTGACAACGTATGATTTCAGGTATCGGCTGGAAGATCGATGCCGTATGAGGGCATAAAAGCTATCAGTGTCCGAAGTCCGGTGAACACACGAGTGTCCATAAATCCGTCGTACAGCATCATCTCCATTTTACTCAAGTTACATTCAAAACTGAGTGGCAAGCCAGATTCTTATGAACCGCCTACGTCATTGGAAATTCGACCTCCTGTGAAGCATGACAAAGATAGCGGACCTTTTATTTCCGATCCCGAAGGTCGCATTGGAGATGGGCCATTCTTCATCAAGAAGGTTGTTACTGTGACTTCCCCTTTTCAAACTCCAACTACAAATATGCGAATATCCTGCTAGGTTCTTGACAAAATCTGTCGCCTCGATGTTAAAAACGTCGAGTATATCGAAATGTTGCGGAGTAAATTGTGGCCAAAGGCGAGTCGAGAAGAGCAACAAGAGCGAGCCCGTCAAGTCGACCGTGACGAACGCCGTCGTAAAGCGCGAGAACGTCAGCAGAAGTTGATGGCCGAGTTCGCATCCAAACAGCGACAATTCATGGAAAAAACTCGTGAAACTGGTAGGATTCCACGCCAGAGAACAGCTAAACAAAGTTGCGTGTAATAGAACTTATATTTCCAGATGAATCGATGGATACTGAAGAGGCGTGCGCCAGTAGCGAGCCGTCGACTCATCGTGATGTGGAGGCTGTGATGAAGAATTACGACTGTGGTATCTGTGGGCAATCTGCACCTAGTACAGAGGAGCGACCGATGGCATTGGTAGTCCTCATCCAGGTTAGTGGTGCATTTTTCGGCGCAATACAAATTTTTTAAACCATTGTAATTTTCGAAACATGTGCCCCTTTTTACCGAGTGCGCCAATGCTTCGTGCGTAGAACAATCGGAACGATTCGCAATAAGTAATGTGTTCATGTACGACGCGCATCCGTATGCTACTTGCCAAATGTGTGAAAAATTGCTGTGCTTGTAACGTGCGGAAGTACGGCATCTTATCTAGTGATGAAACTGTAGGGTATGGTTTTCAAAATGTCCACTCTAATGCCTGCGAGTCTTCCTGTGACTCATTGAGTTTCGCCGTGGACTAAATTAACTGGATAACAGGTTTCCTTAGGTGATCTTGAAGAACATAGGATCACCTCGCCTGGATTCCTACAGTTGCTTTCGTGCACGCCTTAATTCTTTTCAACAAGTGAGAACATGCAAATTTTAATTGAGTATTGGTTCTGTCATCCAACAGCGCACCAGCGTAACAGGTCACCGTCATCGAAATACGGTCAATCTGGAACTCCCGGTCACGGAGTCGGAAGAGAAAATATTTTCAATTGCCGATACTGTTTCGAAGAACTCTCTGGGTGCGCAGATGCGGAAACGCGCCGAAATGATGACGAGAGAATTCGAAGTAATGCTTCAGTTTTACATTTCTGAAGGAAACGCTTACCCCGAATACTTCTTTATTTTAAGGTTACGCGTCTATTTGCCATCAACGAAGGTTATATGAATGGTGTTCACATTCAAACCTGCGGCCATTATTTGCACATAGACTGCCAAGAAGCGTATTTGAAATCTCTTACCGTGAGTTGAAGAGTCGAGTTTCCGTTTCGATTGGATTTTCGTTTATTGATGTACGCTAAATTGCAGGGTCAGCGTGGGAATCTGATCGAATTCACTCACGGCGAGTTCATCTGCCCTCTGTGTCGTCAGTTTGCAAATATGGTTCTTCCTATAACTCCGATGAGGTCCGGTGGATTCCCATTAGGTTCATCACTTGGAGCGGGAGCTTCGCAAACGAGTGTCATCAATGCACTATTCAAATATTACAAGGAAATGATCCCGGAGGTTTGTCCAGTCAGAATGTTTTACCTAGCTCTTGTGACTGTTCGGATTCGTGTGAGCCATTCGTGTCCTCTAAGGTGTTTCTGTCAGATCGTGCAGTTTTTTGTTTTAAAATTTGGCTTATTTTAAATTTTTCTCCGAACTTCTATTGGCTAAATGGGAAAATCTTGGTCCGACTTTCAAATTAAAAAACACTGCTACCATCGAAACTCAGCAATGTTTATGTCTGCAGTTGTGACGGAACGAACGGAAACCATCTCTCATTTGATAAATACGTATTTTGGATAGGAAGACGCACTGATCAGTTGAGGGTTGGAGAATAAAGTACAGTATTACAAAACATCCCGAAAAGTTCGAATTAATACGGTGTTACCTTATTCAATGAATCGATTTAAAACTTCAGGTAAAGACGATGTTCAAGGAGTACACGCATATCTGAGTTTTTATATCAATGTTGACGAGGCCAAGGGTTTTCTACCCGTTGGTGTTTCCTCATATACAACACTAGCCTTTATATGAAGCCTCCATTTCAGAAAGACCGATTGAGCGATCTATTTACTTGTGTGTGTAGGTATCGAATGCAAGCTCTGCCTGGAGAGTAGCTGTCTCTAAGTTTTTGGAGCGTATTCAAATGCGTAATCCAAAAAAGTTGGTTGGAAGCTATTCTAAAGGAGAATCGCCAGCGCCGCTGCCGTCGATATTAAGGACAAATTTCGAAGCGGAGCTGATCGCGAGAAACGGCAGTCTGGCGGGTAACCAGGACCCCTTCAATCGTCGCTGTTGTTTCGGTGAGTGTTTCTTCATCGAGGAAGTGTGGAAGATCCGTAAAATTCATGTCTTCAACTTTCTTGTAGTGCCACTTCTGGATGCCATCCGATCAACGTGGGAGGATTCGTTTGCAAAGGAAATCGTTCAGAATTTCACACCGTACACCATCGGAAATGGAGATGAGAGCCCTTCGACGGCGTCGAATGTTCCTGTTTTGCTGCAAGATCCTGTGACAGTTCTGTTTGCGCATCTTGTTGTGCCGCCGTTGAGTAACGACATAGGTACGCATTGATATTTTCGTGACTGAGTGGTTGAGCGCGTGTCGGAAACTGCAGAAGTACAGAACGAAACGTGGGAATGATGGTTTCTCTGTTTGATACGAAGGTGCTTTTTGTTTATGTTAGGTTAGTCTCCGACAGCTTTTCTGGGCCAGGTCCGAGGGGTTATTGATTTCAGTCAAGTCCCGCATTTTTGAAACTTATTGTCAACATAATTTCGAAGTACAAAGCAATTTAGATTAGTGTTCATTTCAGTGATGTGTTGGTTTTTAAATCTCCTGCGGGAATCACGGGTTTTACCGCAAAGCTGTCCAACATTTTCCAGACGCTCATGAGGATTTTCTTTGAAGTCTTGAACATTATATGAACTTTCTAATATCAATGAACTATGACTCCTTTCTGTGTAGCTTATTATTGGCTAAAAAGAATCAACTCATTCGAACCAGAAACAAATGCTGGAGACATTGCTGACCAAATAAGTGGAATATCAACAAGAAACTAAAGCGTACATGGTTTTTCCAGATATTTCTGTTGATATAAATTTGTTAACATTTTAGTTCTTACAAGTAATTCGATTTGATTCAATTTTTTGCTTAATGGATTTTTTCTTTCGAAGAAACAGTACTAGGATTGCTCCTACGTACTATTTCCTCAGGTTGATAAGGTATCATAAAATTGATATGTAGATTTTTTGGTGAATCACGCGACGTTTGAAAAAGCTCTCATAGAAAATGTTGAGAATCTGCATTCATCTGCTACTCTTCAGGAGCAAAACAATTATTTGGGGAAGTAAAATAAGCTTTAACAACATTTCATGATGCTTAAATGAAGAATTGCTAGCTAGCAATCCATTCCGACCGCTTTTTGTAATTGATTCGAAGGCATTTATTCGTTGCTTGAAGTTTAAAAAATGTTTGCTCTCCTGGAAAAAAGATAATTGGTGATCCCCGTTAATAAGGTATACAAAGGAAGTTCAGTAATTTTCCTACCGAGAATTTGATTGTCCATTGTATCTCACGCTCAGTGTTGGGTGGGAAAAAAAATTTTGCTGTTTAACTATGAAGTTCTAAACATTTTTGTCTTCACGCTTCTTTGTCAAGTATTTCTGATCCTGTTCTGTGCTTCTGTAATTTTCTTCGTTCCATTTTTTTTCGGACGCGGCATGTTGGGATCTGATAGTTTACTTGTTCCAATAGGCCTAGGTACTGTACTAACTGTATGTATTCTCGAATTTTTAGGAGCTTTCACGGCGTTCGTCAGGCTGCTGTATGCTGTGGGTTATGTGCAGAATTTGACTGCTGCGATATGTCTAATGACGGAACCGTGCAGGGCAAGATTCGCTGCCTACGTTTTGGAAAACGCTGATCGAGATGGTGGTTCTATGACGAATCTCGCGAGTGTCGGAAGTTTGGTGATAAAAACAATCGGTACTTCGTACTTGCTGCCCATTGACCAGACGCGCCAAGAGGAGGAAACGCGTCATGATTTGTCCTCTGTGGATGCCGTGGACCGAGCAATCCGTGCCGGATTAGTTCACTTGCTTCGATTGGCGAGTTTATTGAGGTTCTACATCTTCGAAGATCCGCTTTTATCCGCGTCTCAGGGGCACTTGAGTGGAAACAGCAACGAGTTTGACAAACTCTGCAATTACCTACGTATAAATATGCTGGACGGTACGAGGTCGGTGTTGAGTGGAGATTGTGCGAGAAGATTGCATTGGCACGTGCAGAATCCGGAAGGAGTCGTTGGCCGATGGGTCGGCGAACTCGTGCAGAAGACAGACGTTATTTGTCCTTTGACGATCAGGCGGATTCTCATTCAGCAGCAGCTCATTTGGGAGCAACCGAGACTGTTGCAACTTCCGCATGAATACGATGCAATTTTTAGAGTAAGGGAGCGAAATATTCTATCATCAATGCGCGTATTTACATGCTTCAAGATTCTGTTCTGCAGGTTTACCATTCAATGTCGTGCTTTAACTGCAAATCAGTTCCGAAAGACCCTGCGATTTGCTTGGTGTGTGGGACTTTAGTCTGCATGAAGGACCAGTGTTGCAAAACGAAAGCCTTCGAAGCCGTCACGGTGAGATTTTGTCATTGTTGTTGAAATAATTCAGGTTTTAATCATGCTTTTCGATTTTCTTCAGCATTCGCTTGATTGCGGTGCCGGTACCAGCATGTTTTTGGCAGTGAACACGTCACTCATCATTGTGATTCGTGGACGAAGAGCTTGTTTTTGGGGCTCTTGTTATCTGGATGCTTTTGGAGAAGAGGATCGTGACTTGAAGTGAGTGATTGATCAGTCCTCTTCAGGTGCGATTAATCGGGATTTTTGGTCCCAATGGGAAGTTTTTGCACATATTGCGAATGGTATTCTTAGAATTTTCGCATTTGTGCGTGTAGCAATTCGTATAATTCATGGCAGGAAAATATAGTACACGATTGATGTCCGATTTTCCGCGCTTCAGTGTGAAAAGTGTTCACGGATATTTCAGAATCACTGTATCCGAAGAATCATCTGGAATACTTTTCTATCCTTAAATTTTCAAAGTTCAAATTTTATGCGCGTTCAATCGAGTCAAAATTGAACATGAAAGAAGAAACAGCGGCCGTCAGTCCATCACAAATTCCTCCTACCATCCGTGCATATTTCTGCACTTGATCATTTACAATTCTCTGTATTGTCTCAGTGCCGCCAAATTTTTGAAGAGATTGACATGAACCTTCTCAAATTATATCCTTAATTCGTGACTGGGTTAAGAAAACTTGGAAGATTCAGAAATGGAAATTCAAATTAGATCGAGCAAAATTAGCCCAAATCGATTTTTAAAATTCTTCACTTCTTGCTTCAGGAACGGAGAAATATTTACGCATCATCAGAGGAAAGAAGGAATGGTATTGAAGATGACATTTTTGAAGAGTTGGGAGATTTTTTGATGCGCGTAGAATCGTCCACCTTTTTCATAAAGTTCTGAACCAACGTGTTTTAATTTGATTTTCATGGTTATAGCAATTGACTATCGCACTGAGATTCCTTCGAGATATGAAGATCGTTGAGTGACAAACTAATCTTTCCATCTTCTTTCTAGGCGTGGGAAACCGCTTTATTTGTGCAAGGAACGTTACAAGCTCTTGGAGAAGCAATGGAAGACTCATATGTTTGACCGCACCGCGAAACGCTGGCTTCCCCACAAGGACCAGTTGTAAAGACAATTCGGACGTCGATCTGAATTCGTGCTCTGCTGGTTTTTCTAGTCAAAATTGTTCATTATTTTTCCTTGAATCAAACCACCATGTCTGCATTCGGTTTGTTTCTGCGCGTGAAGACGGAGAGAAATCGTGCGTTTCAACTCTGGTTTTTCTGTGGATTGACTAACGCGTATGATGCAAGTTTGCTGAATTTTAAACAAGAGCCGTTTAGCATACTGTGCATTGGAGGTTTATCTGAGCTTGTTGAATGACTCGACGGTTTCTGGCACAACTTTCCAGATATGCAACGCTACGGAATGAAAATTAGGTATTTCGTGCTTGTTTTTCTAAGGCTCATGAAAACTTACTAATTGAAACATTAAAAATGAGGTCTAGCATACTGAGACCATTTTCTTGTCCTGAGATCTTTCGTCTAGCATAAGTTGATCCACGTTAATGTGGGCTGTGATTGACCTGAAGAAGTGGCTAGTGTGCTTTTTAATTTGGTCTCGAATGAGGAATTGAAACATTGTTTTTTTTTTTTGCTGTTGGAATCTTTTTTTTTACATTTGACCTCTGTGCTGGTACATCGAGATAAATTTTCTTTCCTGGCTGAAAACTTGAATACTCTTGATCATCCCGGATCCATGTTTCCTCTATTCTTCTTACGCCTTTCTTCAAAGAAATATTCGCGCGTTCGTAATTAAAGTGTAAGCGGGCCTGATCAATTTTCGCCTTCCGTTTTTTTAGGAGGTAGCTGTGTTGAATTGAATGCTTGATTGTGTTGCGATGTTGTCTCGGATTTTTGGGAAAATTGGTTTTTTGGGATTTGGCTGAGACATTTGACGTTTGCGAATAAATCTCTGCATGAAATAACCGGTCGTGTCACAGTGACTATTCTCTTTTTCTTTTTATTCGTGCAGGGTTTTATTAGTGCATCGAGGCAGTGCTCATTTTGTTCAAGCTTGTGGATGCGGTTTGGAGGACGTCCGAAGCTTGAGACCAATTTTCATTCCGCCCAGCATTTGTGGTTCCCAACCATCGCTGGAATTCATCGTCGAAGTCCCAGGTGACCGAAGTCAACTCGTCTCGTCTCACGTTGCATCATCGAATGCAGACCTGATGAAATTTTATTGGGTAACATTTTTAATTATAGGATACAGGTTGGTTGAAGGTTCTCACCTCATCTATCGCAATTCAATTACAGTACTGTACTAGTAATATACTGTATCGTAGTACAGTACAGTACTCTACGGCACAGTTCAACTCTTCATGACCAATTTATTATTTTTTTTTGAGGATCTCATACAGGCGATCGAATGATCGAATAAAACCCAGTCGCAGCAAAAGAAGCTTTCTGTTTTTTTTTTCCGCACACACCAACAAAAAGATTTTCCTTGCAGTACCGTGAGTTTCGTCTCACGTACAATCCTGGCACAACAATTTTTAGGTAACCGATCCAACCGCGGAATTCTTGTATGGAATGCCAACTGACGCAATTCCTCTGTTTCACTTTTTTTTTTTCAAATGTACATCACATCAATAAAAGCATGAAAGAAGTCTTCACACGAACTTGGTTGATCGCGATTAGGAAAAAAATTTTTTGCTGATCAAAATCGCGAGAGTTGCGAATACAGTACTGTATATACATTTTTTTCACGGATGGAAGTCGATATAACCCTCATTCACGCCAATAAGTGAGTAATTAAGACGTAAGGAATTCCTGAGCCTATTGATGATTTTTGTAATTTTCATTGATGAGATGGGCGTGAAATGCGTCATCAATTTCATGAGTTGTGCACAGCACGGATCTCCAGGAATCCTGCTGTATTTGCCATTGCATAGATGTCGCTAGAGCCTTGTTCGTGCAGTATTCCTATCCGCAAATATAGAGGCTGCTGGTCATCGATTTAAAAGAAGGTTACAAACTACTGTGTTCGGAGTTTTGGGCGATGATGCAGCCTGTCTAATGTATTAAGATAAAATCGACCATTTTTCCGAGAAGAAAAAGGAATCTACCAGAACGTTGAAATAACAATAATATTATCGTTTTAACGCTATATAAAGGCCAGCAGGGCCAGACCAAAGTCGCAATACGCCCTCGCGGAGAAGGGGTTGACCAATAACTGACGCGTACGTATGCTGATGACTTCTCTTTTTTAATCCCGAATTTTAATGAATTGCTTTTTTTTCTACTCCTGGGTTTCATCGTGTTACAGCAGAGCGCACACGTGCTGGCTGGTGCGGCGAAGTTCGAAGCCCGTTTGCTATGGCGCTTATTATTAGAGCCCCTCCTATAATCTGTGATGCCAATCAGCTCAGTCGTGATCGCCGAAGTTAACCAGAAGGAAGTGGAGATACATATGAAGGGGTCTGTTATAAGGAAGACCTGGTTTGTGTTCGTCCCTGTGTATGGGAAGCACAAACTTTCAGGGGCGAGAATCCTGTCCTTTCTGATATACGTACGACGAGCATCTCCGCTAATCAATCTTTTCCGCGTTCCCGAAACTTGTACTTTAATTCCGCCGCGCGAAGAACCTCTTTGCCTGGTAATAATTAGGTAATAATTATGAGAGTATTTTCAACGATTGAAGGATTTAGAGCTTTTTTTACCAGTGGAGAAAAATACCGCAGTTTCTTTTGCCCCTGTGTAATCGTTCAAGTGCCCGGGATGTATTTAGTATACTTTTCCAATGCACCATAAAACAAAAGGAATTAATTTCCATTGTTGAGCAATTTATGGAGTCGTTAGGTGTCCAAAAGCTTTTCATCCCCGAATAAAAATCCGTTGAATAATTTTCATACATCGCATGAGTTACGAAAGTTACAAGTTTCTGGATTTGTTTCAGTTGATTAAATTTGCTGCCTCTTGCGTTTGCGATTTTCGACGAATGGTCAAAAAGCTCGAAGGCTCAAAAATTGTTTTTAAAAAAGTTACCGAAGAACCTGTGTTACAACATTCGCATCATTGAAACTCATGTTCGACCAATTCTAAAAATTACACATTTGAATGAATATGTACTAAACAGTACAGTATAGCACTAACGGATCTTATTAGTCGCTTTTTCATCTATGATCATATGTTATTATTAATTTTGCGTGCGTTATTTCTTCATGGATTTCGTCAGTCGAGAAAAACAGTAAAAAAAAGACTTCCCTTTATATTTTGAAGGTTAGTTTCAATATAAAGCAGACATCTGGCCATCAGCCAGAGAAAAGGAGGTTCCTTTGTACTTAGTGGCCAAAAAAGCTTTGGATTGGATTCCAAACAGCAATACTTTACTGTACTGTATTTCCAGATCACGACTAATGAAAACTGGGAAGGCTCAAGTAGCTTCTTTGAAAATAAATGCAACTTTCTAACATTAATTTCCTCCAGAAATTTCAGACTGAAATTTACTCCTTATTTTGGAAACGTTCTCCAGCTGTACGTTTTTCGAAGTCACAGGTGCTTTGATACATTCAAATATGATACAAAAATAATTCATACTCACTCGAATCAAACTTTCAGTTTAATTTTTTCATGGTACGCAGCTCCAAGAATAATTTTTAAACCAGTCTAAATATTCCCGGCGATTTTCCTGATTTTAATATCGAGTGATCCAAAAATCACCATCTAGTCTAGCAATAAGCTTATTTCTTACATCTAGAGTTGACTGAACATTCCTTCTCAGCCCACCTGTATAGTGAAATAACCAAATAATCCAAAATAATTTTAAAGTTAGCAAAAGGCCATACAAAATGAGCGCAACTTCATCTATATAGCTCAATGCAAAAAGTCGAAAAGGTTAATTAAACCCTAATAGGAAAAATTAAATGCAATAAAAAACTTGATATTTATATTTCAAATTCAAACGGTATGACTGACAGTAAAAGTACCATTTTCATTTAACACTGTTTCAACTACCTGTTGATCGTGTTGACCTTTGACCATTCAGTAGAAAAAGTTTTTTATCCCTAGGCAAAAGCAGGGTTTTCCTGAGCGTTTTGGCATTTTGGCTCAAAGAAAGATAGCGTAAATGACAGGCCAGTTGTACAGGATTAAGTTGAAAGCATTTTGTTAGGGGCCAGGAGGAATTAACATCATTCTTTTGCAGACCTCAATCCGATGAGTAAAATGCAGAAAAAAGGTTGAGCTTCTGAGAATTTTTTCAAGCCGAAAATTTTGTGCTCCAAACACAAATACCTATTTTCCCTAGCTTTGTCATAATAAAATGAACGGGTTTACAGTACTTCTAAAAGTACTGTATCCCTATAAAAAGAAAGCAAATTTTTGAAAGGTTCCCCAATTTTTCCCAAGGGTCATCAACAGATATGACTAGAATTCACGTTGTCATTCATCATCAATATTTTGATGAATTAAACCGAAATTTTCAGACAAATACCTATGAAAAAAATTGAAGATATTTTTGTTTGTACAATTTTGTTGTTGTGGAGAAATTGATCAAAAATATCAAGGAAAGTAAGCCATCCTTTTCGGAATATTGTGAAGAAAATTTCCATTAAAAATATCTCAGAGAACCCAGTCATTGAATCGTTGTTGAATTTTCCACAAGAATCAAGTAAAATACGATGCACACGTAAACGTCAAACATTTTGAAAATTTATATCCACCTGTGCTGGGTATCCTCCTTTTTTTCCTATTCACTTTCCAAGAAATTGGGCTTCCATCAATCTGGCATTAAGTATTCGAAATCCAGCAGTCCTCAGTTTCTTTGCCTGCCTGACCAACAAACACCACGGAGACAACTTTCAGAATGACCAATAATATTTGTGTACATCACAGGGGTATAGCCCGAAAAGCATCCCTTACATACCAGCTTCTGTATTACATAGCTCCCCATCAAACCCGGCCCTCTTCACCCCCGCCTCCGGGGGGTTGCGCGGGGAACGCGAAAAAGTTGTTTCGCGGGCACCGCGTGGCAAATGCTCAGCATACATACGGAGACACCCACACAGAAAAGTTTCACTCGTGAATGGCGTCAGTTAGAAGGAGTTCGTCCTCGGGCAAGGGCTTCCGTTTGTAGCCCGGCTGGGCCGTGATGAAGATGGCAAGCATGCCGAAAATGAGGATGAATATTCCGGTCACGTTGATGAGCACCGCTTCGGAGCCGAGTTGCTCATACAAGTTATCCTTTGACCTGAGGCATCGGATGGAACAGAAAGGCTTTTTATGCCATTTGAAGAAGAAGAAAAAAAATAGAATAATCGAAAGAGAGAGAAAAATATATATAGTCGGAAAAAGATGAAGACATTACTGCCACCGCTGCTGGCAGTAAATTGAATTCGCGCCTCCGCCTTGAAACATGACGTGTAACCCACCTTATTTTTTTAGTGGTACTCTACCAATTTAAAAATATCCCGCTTTTTTCATGGAACACCTCCTTAGGCCCACATCGATGGGGCTTCAGCCCTTGATCACTACTGTATTTACAATTAATTCCTTAAATTCATCAACCACGCATTCCTTCAATCTCTTTTAATAGCATTGTCCTGAAAGACCTGGAATTATAAAAGTTCTAATGCATCCCTCGCTCAACACAGTCTCGGAATCTGGTTTACGTTTTTTTATTAAAAAAAAAATATTGTGGTCCACGTCCAATAGTGGATAAATCCAATAGTTTTTGATATACATTACTGTATTCTCCAGTGTATATCACCTGACAAATGGTACGGGTACAACTGACACTGCTTTAAAATGCGTCCCAATTTGTGTTAGGATAAAAATACCCAGGAGGAAAAGTATCTTTCTAAAAACCATCACAAGAATAGGGCATTAAAATCAACATTAATTTCAACATTAATTTAGCACACTTGACGCGGAAACCCTTTGATTCAACCCACGGTAAATACAAAAATAATGATAAATTTCTAAACAAGCAAAAAATCGACCCCGGCATGAAATAATGTTCATCAAGGGATTTTTGGTAGGTGCTTTCCGCATAGGGTGCGTTTTACATAGGGTTCTTTTTGAAGGAAGATTCTCTCCTGTCAATCTTGGCCTCCGTATAATTGACTCCACCCCGAGGGCTCGGGTCATGATTTTACCAAAGAAAAATGCGTTACCGCATACTTACAATTTGAGGACTGCTTTCTCTAATAACCCCATCAGTGCCGTGATGCAGCTCAGCGAGAATATGATTAATCCGAAGAGCGTGTGGATGGGCAAATATTTTGACCTGAAAGCGTGCTTGATCCCCGGGAAGAGGAACGACAGAAATCCGGCGACCCACTGCAAAAGAAAGAAATAAATGTCAGTTCCCGAGTTTCTGAAAAATTACTTAATGAGATGGCTTCTCGAAAATTATCAACGGACTCCTATTTCAGCTCATGGAAGCCGTGCAAATGTTACATAGTACAAGTGAACGCGCCTCAAAATTACCAAGAAGACATCAAAATAATTATTCTTAAGGAGATTATTGAAGAAACGCGTTAAAAAATAGATTGACAGAGGGCGTGTCATCACCAAAATAAAATTAATCACATGGAAAATGGCACTGTACATATGATCAATGTGGAGGGAGTCCACCAATCTAAAGTTCATAATGCAATATTTCCAAAGACGTGTCTGAACGTTAAAAAAAAACATGTCCTTTACAATTTTGAAGTAGAAAAGACAAAAACACTTCAACAATTTTCAACATCAAAAGATAAAATCAATTTAAAGTGGAAATACAATGGGGCCCCAACATATGGATGCCCTGAGGCGTGAAGGATTCAACTTACAGAAACTTCAAACCTGAAATTCAGCCTCAAATGCTGGACAATGAATCCAATTATGGACACATTATCACAAAAAATAAACATAATTTTTTTCATAATTTTTATCTCTTGAAAGACTCAAACGAATTGAGCTACTGCCTTCCTGGATAAAAACTAAAAACAAAGCTTATTTTAAATATTCTCCAATATTCATTTTTTACAACAGGCCAAGTTTTCTTTCCTCTTTTATTTAGAGGGATTCCATGAACTGTGCGCAGAACAACATGGAAAATCTGTACAAGTGTTTTGGCTATGCGCTCATTTTTTTTACACTGTGTTTAATTCATCATTTCAAAAAAGAACATTTCGTTTAGTTTACTTAGCCGTTATTTACTGCAATTTATAGGTACGGAAATAATTTTATTCAGTTATTCTAAGGTCGTTTCCTTTTTTACCTGGTGTCTTGCATGTCACCAGAATAAATTTTCCTTTTTGAATTGGATTTTGTTCCAGAAAACATTGGATTGTGGTATCTTGAACCATGGGAATTGATAATCAACAAATTTTACCTCCTGTTCTTTAGAATATTCGAATTGATTCAATCTGAAGATTCTAAATCTTCTAAATCTGAAGATTCAATCTGAAGATTCACTTGAAAGTTTAAAAAATAATATTTTGCCGTGGTATATAATTTAGAATATACTGTAATGTAATAGAAAATTGCGTTGGTGACACGTTGAAGCGTGGAAGGAAAAAGACGGCTCTGTATTGAATACAAGTGCAAAATACCGAGCATTACAGCTAGTAAAATGACTTTTTTTCAACTTGCGATTCATTCCGGCGATGATTCAAGAAATTTCTTCAATTTTCTTCACTGGACTGTTGAAATTATGATGACATAAAAAAAAACAGTGTAAAAAATGAGTGCATAGCCAAAATACTTTTACACATTTTCCATATTGTTCTGCACACAGTTCATGGAAACCCTCTAAAAGAGGAAAGAAAATGTGGCCTGTTGTAAAAAGAATGAATATTGGAGAATATTTAAAATAACCTTTATTTTGAGTTTTGTCCAGCAAGGCAGTAGCTCAGTTCGTTCAAGTCTTTCAACTCCTTACCGGATTTTTGCATTGTTGGAAGAGAAATTGGAAGAGAATATAAACTTGCCTGACAAGCGAAGAGAAACGCCGTGACGATGCCAAACCAACTGTGAAGTGAGTACAAATTTGGCGTTTTCGACGCTTCGTGAGCGTCGAAAACTGCCTTGAGACCGATGACGAAGAGGAAGAAGGTGAAAAGTTGGGCAACTGCGTGAACGATCTTCAACTTCCGCTTCCGCTCCGTCCGGAACACTCGGTACACCAGCATTCCTGCGTCGTCGTCAAATAAATGCGAAGTTCACTCGACTTCCTTTCGCATGTTTCATTTATTCATTTCTTTTTATCGTTGCTGGTCACACACTTTTCCAGGAAAAGTCATTATTTTTTTTAAACAGTGAGATCGAGATTTTGTGGTGCTTGAAAATTGCGAGTGAAGCGCAAATTAAACCTTGAGGTAAATTACGACTATAGCATGTGCTGACAAGTTCGAAAAACTTTTTCACTGTGTGGGCTCAAATTGACCGGGTCAAAATTCAGAGTTGATACGAGGAAGTGAAATTGCGTACATCATTTTATTTGGAACCATTTGCGTTTTTCCTATAACGTTGAATTGGATTGTTTACGAATATTCATTTAAAATTAAGACTCATTTGATAAGCACCAGAAAGTTACAAAAGTAATTGAAGGTTCGATTTTAGTCAAAGAATGCATAGAATAACAGTCTATGAGGGCATTTTGAAAATGCGTTGCTCCTCAAAAATTGTGCGGCCATATGACGGTATAATATCACTTCAGAAGTTCAGATAATCCTGGGGTATTTTGTTTAATTCTGGATTATTTATAATAAATTTTGATCATTCGCAAAGCTTAACTATTCAAGTTCTTCTGAATTAAACATTATATTTTATTCAATTAAGGGTCTTTTTTAATGTTCAATACGTGAACGTCAAATTATTGAAAGTGCTTTTTCAAAGCCGCGGAAGTCCACTCTAGCACACATAAAAAGTCTTCATGCTTTCTTTCTCATTTCTACGAATTTATTGAATCTTCAGTCAATTTTTTAAAATATGGATGTGCTAAAGCAGTGTTCCACAACCTTTTTTGTCTCGCGCACCAGCATATTTTCAGAAAAATTTTCCGCGGACCGGCAAAGTTCCATAACATTTTTGATTACCAGCAGTATTGTTTTAAATACCTGCCATTTAGTTCTCAACCTAATTTAAGTAGTGTGAGTTCGTTTTAAAGAACCAGTGAAGCAACTGCCGTATAAGAAAGTGTCTTAAAAAAATAGAAAGCTGGGCTTCAAGAAAGGTTTCCCAGATTGAGAATTTAACATAAAATATTTCAGCAGGTGAAAATATGCCTGAAGTGCTATAAAGAGAAAAGTTAACTTTCATTTTTCATCAGATGATTTCAACTGCTTATCAAAATTTTGGATTGCCATAACAGACTTCTTAGCTATTTTTCTTTTAAATTTGTTATGTCGATGAAATTTTCCCGCGGACCGGTAGAAAACTTTTGGACCCGGGTTGGGGAACACTGATCTAAAGGGTTTTTTACTCACCATTGGCATACATGTAAATCATGCCGACGACCATCAGCAACGGGTGCCAGTTGAATTGCAACTGAGGATGAGCGGCCCATGCGAAACCTCCGCAATGATTGGTCAGCCATGCAATCAGCAACGCAATAATTAGAATTCCGATGATCTGAATCGCCGAATAACACACGGTGAACCATCGGAAATCGATGAGCTCTTGCACTGATTGCTCCATCTTTATTCTCCTGCTCGGATTAATGCTCAAAATAAAGTCTTAGGAATGTGAAGCGCGAGCTTAAAGTGGACAAGACTTTTTTGTATTCAAATAAAAATATGTTTCGAAAATTTTCTTAATCTCGAATCGTTTGCTCTTNATTTTAGTCACAGAATGCGTAGGATAACAGTCTATGAGGGCATTTTGAAAATGCGTTGCTCCTCAAAAATTGTGCGGCCATATGACGGTATAATATCACTTCAGAAGTTCAGATAATCCTGGGGTATTTTGTTTAATTCTGGATTATTTATAATAAATTTTGATCATTCGCAAAGCTTAACTATTCAAGTTCTTCTGAATTAAACATTATATTTTATTCAATTAAGGGTCTTTTTTAATGTTCAATACGTGAACGTCAAATTATTGAAAGTGCTTTTTCAAAGCCGCGGAAGTCCACTCTAGCACACATAAAAAGTCTTCATGCTTTCTTTCTCATTTCTACGAATTTATTGAATCTTCAGTCAATTTTTTAAAATATGGATGTGCTAAAGCAGTGTTCCACAACCTTTTTTGTCTCGCGCACCAGCATATTTTCAGAAAAATTTTCCGCGGACCGGCAAAGTTCCATAACATTTTTGATTACCAGCAGTATTGTTTTAAATACCTGCCATTTAGTTCTCAACCTAATTTAAGTAGTGTGAGTTCGTTTTAAAGAACCAGTGAAGCAACTGCCGTATAAGAAAGTGTCTTAAAAAAATAGAAAGCTGGGCTTCAAGAAAGGTTTCCCAGATTGAGAATTTAACATAAAATATTTCAGCAGGTGAAAATATGCCTGAAGTGCTATAAAGAGAAAAGTTAACTTTCATTTTTCATCAGATGATTTCAACTGCTTATCAAAATTTTGGATTGCCATAACAGACTTCTTAGCTATTTTTCTTTTAAATTTGTTATGTCGATGAAATTTTCCCGCGGACCGGTAGAAAACTTTTGGACCCGGGTTGGGGAACACTGATCTAAAGGGTTTTTTACTCACCATTGGCATACATGTAAATCATGCCGACGACCATCAGCAACGGGTGCCAGTTGAATTGCAACTGAGGATGAGCGGCCCATGCGAAACCTCCGCAATGATTGGTCAGCCATGCAATCAGCAACGCAATAATTAGAATCCCGATGATCTGAATCGCCGAATAACACACGGTGAACCATCGGAAATCGATGAGCTCTTGCACTGATTGCTCCATCTTTATTCTCCTGCTCGGATTAATGCTCAAAATAAAGTCTTAGGAATGTGAAGCGCGAGCTTAAAGTGGACAAGACTTTTTTGTATTCAAATAAAAATATGTTTCGAAAATTTTCTTAATCTCGAATCGTTTGCTCTTCTTCTTACGGACGCGAGGAAATATTCACCTGAAAAATATTTTAACTTAAAAAAGCATTTTTGAAATCTGGAGCTCTTCTTCAAATAATACCGTAATAACACACCAAACCGGTGAATTTTAAATTATTGCCTCGAGTCTTTCGAAATTATTTGCATTGCGATTGAGGTAGACTAATGAGATGAATCAGTACTTTTTTGGTACAATATGTGGATAATAGAAAAAATGTCGTAAAACGAACCCAGGGATGTGAAGCTCATTAAAACAAAAGTGTAATTAGCACACGCCCACTAAAAATTTACATTTCTTCACAGAAAAAATGACACACACACACACACACTGGAAAAATCAAGAATGGGCAAAATAAACGTTTTAAAATTTTTCTGAAAAATGTTTGCAAATTGTCCACGAGTGACTGGATAAAAAAAAAACTTTTCACAATTATACGATGCGACCACACGAAAGAAAATAAACTGAGTGGGGTGCTGTCGCGCCGTGGGCAGCGACGCAACAAGTGCGGGTTTTCACGTGCCAGCAGACGGGGTTACATCTTTCAGAGGGGATCCTCAGATCCCTGAGAGGATCCTCAGAGCTCGCCGTTCCTCCCCGAGTATCCTGCCATATGGCTGCTCGCTCTCATTCCTCGCGCACCCTCGGTATAAGGGCGTCCTTTTACACGTCTCCAGTGCCCTCTTTTCGGGTGGGGAACACAAATAAAAGAAAAGAAAAAAACAGGAGAGGAAAGTCACCTGCTTTTCATTTATTTTCTCATTCAATATTCCTGACTCGGAAATCGCGTATATATCGGGCAACTTTAGGCGGGGTTTCTCTGAATTCATTTTTCGTCTTGGACTAACTTTGGCTTTCACCTCGACGCACGGAAAAATCCGATTATCATTCTTTCTGTTGGAAATCGAACATATGTCCAGATGTCCCCGAGGATTAGAAGTTTTCTACCAGAGAGTGAGAGAGAG